CTTAGTGAATAAATAATGAAATATCAGCTAGGAACTAAACATCTTTGATAATTTGAAACTAGCGTATTTAAAGCCTGGATCTCGACACATATCTAGGGACACTAGGACTAATGTTGTTGTTTTTTTTCTATTCCACTGATACACGTGGTAATCAACAGTGTTCAATCCTTGTTTAATTACCACGTTACATTCACAGATTTCATCCAAAAATCAGTCAACATCAACATACAAGTTGTGACTACTTGATTAAAGCACGAACAGCGAAATTTTGGGACTATTATCTCACACTCATTGTGGCTGGGCTAGAGCGTTAATATGGCGCTTGATATTGTTTGTTAGCACTTTTAATTCCGTACTGGATAAAGCTTTTGTAACCGGTGCCAATTTTCACACTGAAAACACGTACATGTTTAACCTTATTTATTTTATTCCACAATCGGTGTTATTTACAAATATTGAAATTCATATGTTTTAAACACAAATCGATTTCTGGGTTCAGGGATTACGGTGGATGAGGGAGGGGAGGGTGTTTGTGATGCAGGTGCGCACCTATGACCAAGTTTACTCTAGTTAAACGTATAAATAGTTTTTTTAACTTTACCCCAGAGTGGAGAAGGAACGATAAGCTTTCCAATCATCTCTTCACTCAAAGCACTGTCGCTAGGTGGCGGGGGACACACGAGTGATTCAATGTAGTCATCCGTAGTGCGCATGACACTGGCGAGGTCCGGCGGTTCCGTTCTGGTGGACCTCATCATCATACAGAGTGACGTCTCTTCTTGGAGGACACTTTCGATGTACATCATGTCCAGGTCACTAACGATGGACCCGTTGATGACCATAATCTCATCCCTCCTCATTAAGCCTAACGAGACGTACATAAATCAGCATACGTAAGAAAATGTTTACTTTTAATTTTTATTGCACTGTACTACATGTTACTATTCATAATTCCATTTTGTACACCTCGTGGTTGTGTAAACTCGTAATCTGCAGCACTACTAACAACATGTTTTTTTTTTTTTACATTTACATTCCTACCCACAATGCACTCAGTCGAACAAGAACAGTTTCTTTAGGTTCCATTAACTCCTGAAAAATATTTGTACTTATTTTTCTCGTTACATACAAATAAATATAAAAATGATTTCTCGTCGTTGGCATAACACTTATTCATAATAAATCTAGCGAACCATCCGATTTGGTTGGGGATTTTGTAAGTTTGATTCTGTTTTCCTTCTACTCAAAGTAAACCAATATATACGACCAATAGAGGTTTAAACAGCTTAAACTAGATTTCGTTAGACTCTAACATTGTTTTGGTAGGGAAGTTGGATGATTTATTGTTTGAATCTAATATTGTTTTGGTGGAAAAGTTGGATGATTTATTGTTTGAATCTAATATTGTTTTGGTGGAAAAGTTGGATGATTTATTGTTTGAATCTAATATTGTTTTGGTAGGGAAGTTGGATGATTTATTGTTAGAATCTAATATTGTTTTGGTGGAAAAGTTGGATGATTCATTGTTTGAATCTAATATTGTTTTGGTGGAAAAGTTGGATAATTTATTGTTTGAATCTAACATTGTTTTGGTAGGGAAGTTGGATGATTTATTGTTAGAATCTAATATTGTTTTGGTAGGGAAGTTGGATGATTTATTGTTTGAATCTAATATTGTTTTGGTAGGGAAGTTGGATGATTTATTATTTGAATCTAATATTGTTTTGGTAGGGAAGTTGGATGATTTATTGTTTGAATCTAATATTGTTTTGGTAGGGAAGTTGGATGATTTATTGTTTGAATCTAATATTGTTTTGGTAGGGAAGTTGGATGATTTATTGTTTTCACTGGGTTCTAATGATGGGGAGGATAGACAACAATACAATAATTACTTATAGGGTTTTCACTGGGTTCTAATGATGGGGAGGTGTACAATATTTAAGAATCAACTCGTGGATTTTAGTGACACAAAATAAAGTGTAATGGAAATATCAAGAACTTAAAATTAAGGGAACCACATGAAGTAGATGTTTAAGCAAATAATATTGAAAAACAATAAAAAAAAAACATGGAATTTGTTGTTGGTGAGCAAACCCATGTACCTAACACATCTTGTTCCGGTGGGTGGAACCAACAACAGCTAATATTTTTGGTGAGTTAAACTACTTTGCTGATATTGTGCGTAATCAAGTATCTACTGTTATTCGTAATTAGACTGAAATACCTCTCTCTTGTTGGTGAATGAAAGGAAATACGGTATTACTTTTGTTTGTTTGTTGTTAAGCCCAAAGCTGCACAATGGAATGTATGCGCTTTTCCCACCATTATAAGTCTTACTGCTGAGCCACTGGGGGCCTTTTAGTTACGAGTGAGAGAGAGAGAGATCTTTAAATTTTAAATAATTTGGTTTAATTTCAAACTAAAATATTCCAATTGTATCCATTTTTAAATTCTACCCAATAAATATTTTCTAGCGATCGCACGTGCTTACCTTGTTCACTAGCCAAACTTCCTTCCTCTACTCGGCTTACGTAGACACACAGCTCATCCTGGTGGTCTGCATTCTCCACTAGCTCCGCCTCCACGCTGAACCCAAATAGGTGGTCCAGAGTGGTTCTGGTCAGATCAACTTGGTAGAGCACTTTGACACAAACCTCCAGGACCTCGTACCCTTGCTGATAAATGAACAAACGTTTGGAACCTAGTGAACTTTAAAGATCTTGGCAGTGCAATAATTAATTAGATGTTATTCGTAAAGTTCTGACGTTTTTTTGTTTTTTCATTACTGTGTAATTCATCATTGACCGAGAGACACATTAGAAATACCTATAGTTTTCATTATTACATAATTAGTCATACCCAATTAATAGGAAAAATTGTCATCAAGTGATTATAAAGCATAGCAAAAAAATACTTTGTTTAGTATCCACACGGTGGCACTAGGGATCATCAAAAGTTTCGGGTTATTGCGACCTGGTGGCGCCAATAAGAACTAAACTTTGGTTTAACGAAACTTAGTGGCTTCGAGGAATATATAATCAATGAGCTTGAAACAATCTTTCCCTAGGGGCTTCAAAGCTTGGTAAAAAAGACACATTTACAGGGGGGTGACAATGGATAGAATTGGAAGTTTATATAAATACTTAACAAAACAATAAAACTCGCAAATAATTTTGAAAATTATTCGAAAAACACGTTCAAATTATAAAACTTTAGGCACAACACAAAACTTTTCAAAACCTTACTCATAATGCCAGTCTCAATAAATTTGATTTTTTTTTCGAAGGAAAAGTAAAATATGATAAATACTTATGTATAATTTTTACAAATTTAAATAATACATGAGATCTTAAATAAGAATGTTCAAATATATTTGTATGGTAATTCTTTTCTGAATAATATTTTATATTTCTAATATTCCATTGTCACATAGGCAACAGTAAAGGTCACCTTACTAGTCTATATAGTATAAACCCCTCCTACACACACACACACACACACACAC